TTCTGTTGCCCTTGTAATTTTTTTTAGTGTTCCCCAGACTTCAGAAGGATATGTTTAGGTTGTGGAAATCTTGTACAGCTGAGGGTTTCCAAGAAAGATTGACTCTGAACATTTAGAACTTCCCAAGTAGCTTTTAGAGATAGGAAATTCACTTTAGTTTGTCTTCCTTTATGTGTGTAGGACAAAGAGGAGCCTCCTTTCAGGAAAAAAAAAAATAGTACAAGAACGATTATTTCTTATAATTTCATGTGGCACCCTGTATAGAGATCTGGTCAATCATGGTCTGGTCTGGTTATGGTCAAGAAAGGTGACTGCAAACTGGAACCAGTGCAGAGAAGAACTAGAAAGGTGATCAAGAGAATGGAGATAAGAAAGGAGATTAAAGGAGCTTGACTTATTTAGTGAAATAAAATGAAGTCTCAGAGAGAATATGAGTCCTCTGTAAATACTTTATGGCCAAGCAAGGAAAATAATCTGTTTCAGTTAAGAACATTGGTAGTCTAAGAACAAATGGGTATAATTTGCCACAAATAAATTTAAACTGGGCAACAAAAGGTGGTTTCTTACCTCTAAAACAATGAGGGTCTCAAACAGCCTTCCAAGACTAAGGTACTCAGTTAGTTTTAAGGTTGAGATGGGTCATCTGATGACAGTAATCTTAGGATGTTTATTAATACCTTTCTGAATTATTATTCTCACTTCTCTTTCTCCTCTTTTCCCATGCATCTTGCATAACCCTGATGAGCACAAAAGGATCTCCTAGGAATAGGGCAGACAGGGCCTGACAAATATTTTGCTTGTCACTGTGCTTACAATGTGTCATATGCTGTGGTCTGATGTGTTACAAACACTTTTCACCAGGTTTTCTTTTTTACAAGCAGCAATGCTTCCAGAAGGGAAAGCCCTAGCCAATGAGCAGTCCAATAATACTCTGTATAATGTGACTTACAGCATATGCTGCCCAGAATATTTCAACCTCTCCTCTAATCCTGCCACCAGCTTCTTCTCTCTTTTCACATTGCTGATGAGGGGCCTGAATGAAGACAATACCACAGGATTATGTTTCAAGATGGCAGGAGGCCACAGCTTTAAAGCATGCATCGCATAAAGGGGAAGGCAGCCCTCACAGTTGCCATTAATCTCAGCTCTCGATCTCTGTAGGGGAGCCAAAGATATCTTCTTTCCGCAAGTATCTGTGCTGTCCACGGCAGGAGCGAAGAGATTCACATTACAGTACCAGCTCCCCATCTCACTGCTGGGCTCTGTTGCGTGTTCAGTGTTAATTTTTATTTCCTCAACTTGGCATTTGAGAATAAGAGGCTTCAAGTTCTCTGGAATAGCTGCTGCTGCAAGCAAATGGCAGGCTGCAAACGGCAAAGAGGACTAGTCCGCATGTGCAGGTGGTACGCTGGTTAGCTCATGGCCTCGCATCAGCTTCTGCTCCTGTCCAGCTCAGAGTGCCTGCTCTGGTCACCAGCAGATGGGCCCCCTCAGGCGTGGTAGCCACAAGCAGCCATAGACAATCTGTGGACGAAAATCAAGTTCCTCACCAGGCAGTATTTTCCTGTGTCCTGCCCATCATACAGGCAGCTACTGTATTTTTCTAGACAGAGCCATTCGTACCAACGTTGGACAGATGTTCATCTACATAAATGAAAAGGTATTGAAGTCCTCCTTCTGCATTTGTC